AAACAATTTAACTGTTCATATCTGCTCTTTCTTGTTTCATATCCCAGCGTCCTTATAATCTTTATGAATGATAACATAACTAAACATGAGCAACAAAGGCCAGCTCAAATCTACAAAGAGATCTGTACTTCTCAACAACTTGACCATGTACCAAATGTTGCTAATCTAGAAGATTTATGCTTTTGAGGTTCAGGACGACACAATTACGTAATTCGCTCTTCATAAGAATCAGATGACTCAATCTAGCACGTTTATAACATTCTTGTCCAGTGAAAGTGCTAACAGTTCAATTATTATTGCCATCCTGATACATTTGATTATCATTAATTATTATCTTTGCCACAGTTTAGGACTCTTATAGAGATCGTAATACTACTTCCAGTTTGACCTTAGTCCTTTAAGTTTATATAAAGAATGTAAGTCCATAATAAGCTATTGGTCAAGTTTAGCTATCATCAATTGTTTTAGTTTTCTAAAATTGCTGGTTAAAGGCACACTTTGAAACCTTGAGTGGTTGTAGTACCACTTTCATTTTGACTTCCAATTTGTTAAGTTCCTTCGAAGAATATTAGTCGATATTGGGCTGTTGGTCATAGGGGTCATTGATGTTTTCATAGGGGTCATTTGATGTTTAAGTTTTGTAAAAATGCTTTTTAAGGGCACACCTTTACAACTTGTGCGATCGGATCTCTGGATTTGCTTTTTGATTGCAACATTATTTTAGTAGAACTAGATGAACATAATACTATCAAGTGAATTATGAAATAGTTAGAACAAAGACTCATCTCTGAGTGACAACTGAATGTCTACTACTATGAATGTTTTTTAAGGAAACATTTATACAGGTTTAGACCATTTTGCATCATCGTGTTCCATTACCCCAATTATTTAGCTGTCTTAAAACACCATTTGGTTATCTAAGGGTCAAGTTCACTAATGAACGAAGGGACATTGGAACATATGTCACCTTGTACAAGAACTTATTTATCACATCTTGTATGAAATCTCTGGATGTACTCCTTAGTTATCAACAAATGCCCCTTAGGCCAAAAAGATGTCAAAATATGAAAACTACAGTCAAGAGGCTGCTAAATGATAGATGCAAAGGCCAATTATGCCCCGAAAAATACTTTACCATACAAATGTCATTTCCCCTCTGACCCTCTCATGATGTTCTAGAAATCTAAAAAGGGGAATATTGATGACTGGTTAGAGTTCTGTTTACATTCATTTTTTTCTTTTATCTTTTCATTTGGAAACACTAACAACTATTTTGAGATAATCCTTAATTACCATATGAAGTACTACAAAAAACCTTTGTTGACATAGTGGGAGAACAAAGTCTGGTCTTGGACCAAGGTATAATGGTGATCGAGACTGGAATAGTTTAATCTTGACTTCTGTTGTCATCTTATGAGTTTATTCTGTTATCTCCGGTTACTATAAAAAAACTTACCAATGGATATCGCTTTGATATTCTCAAGCTGTGACAATCTATAGTTCCTACTCAAGAAACACTACTCTCTTATGCTATCAGCCACAATTATCAATTTGTTGTCCTCAAGATTCTTCATAGTGTAACAACCATAATGTATTAAAAGGATCAATGTAAATTACCGATAAAAAATCACTTTCCCTATCTATTACAGATACAACAAGAATTTAATCCCAAAAAAAAGAGAGTGAAAGACATTGAAAACCAACTAGACAAAGTAAACAAGAGAATCTCAATACAGGCAATGTCCTATGTACACAAAAGAAATGCTAGCCTGAAGCAACAAANCCCCCCCCCCCCCAAAAAAAAAAAAAAGAAAAAAAGAGTGAAAGACATTGAAAACCAACTAGACAAAGTAACAAGTGAATCTCAATACAGGCAATGTCCTATATACACAAAATAAATGCTAGCCTGAAGCAACAAAAGTCCAACTCGTTTCCATATTATCTGTGTATATAATTCGAAGAAGCATGTCAATTTCGATATCAGTATCCACACTGTAAAATCTTTCTAAATTCAAAATAACAAAAAAGAATCATATCGAAATATCTTCCTAGTATAACATTGGCTTCAACCTGTCAAAAAACATCACCTCTTTCCAACGCTAAGCTTATACTCTCTTGATGATGCAGTTAAAGAACAATCTCCTAGTAGTTTTGCCTTCAAGCCTCAGCTGGAACTTTTGTGGTTTCATTTGTTGGCTTACAATCTGTGTCCGTTTTTGGAAGGAGAACAGGTATTGGTTTGGATGGATTGCTTCCCATGTCTTTGGTTTTATGAAGAAGAAAAGTACCACATAGGATAGTTACAAAACCACATAACTCTGTAATTATCTGTGTTGCATTTTGATGAACATAGTCCTGAATCCCAAAACAAATCACCAAAATTAGAGAAGTTTCAAAATTCGTTCTTCTTGAAAAGCAAGCTAACTTTCTTTTCTCTCAAATATCATTTCTTACCCTTATACAACAACAACAAACAACTCAGTATATTCCCATAAATTGGGTCTGGGGAGGGTAGTGTGTATGCAGACCTTACCCCTACCCTGGGGTAGAGAGGTTGTTTCCGATAGACCCTCGGCTCCATTTCTTACCCTTATACAACAACAACAAACAACTCAGTATATTCCCATAAATTGGGTCTGGGGAGGGTAGTGTGTATGCAGACCTTACCCCTACCCTGGGGTAGAGAGGTTGTTTCCGATAGACCCTCGGCTCCATTTCTTACCCTTATAAAACAGTCAATTTGAAAAACATATTTATCCAGCTATCTGCATTATTTTTATTCTTGCAACTACAAACGTTTTATTTCCAGCAATATAATAACCCATTCATGATATCTCAAAGAAATGAAATTGATTAAAACTAAGAGTGCTGAATAGCCGTAACCACAAAACTGAATTTTGAATTACCTTAAACATTATCATACTTGCAACAATGGTCAGTGTTGTAAACATGACGTAGTATATAGGGGAAACCACTGCAGTATTGAATGTGTCAAGTGCCTGCAGAATACAATAGTCATGTCAACATTTATATCTTCCAAAAAACAAGTCGTCACTAATATAAAAGGGCAGCCTGGTGCACTGAGCTCTCACTATGCGCGGGGTTCGATGAAGAGCCGGACCACAAGGGTCTATTGTATGCAGCCTTACCCTGCATTTTTGCAAGAGGCTATTTCCACGGCTGGAACCCGTAACCTCCTAAACTCCCCTTTTAAGTTGTTCGTAATATGAGACAACATAAGTGGACATTGAGACGATTGATATTGTTTTAGGTATAGTAGGCCAAAATGGCTACTAGTTTAGGGTAAAATGAAAGATGAGAATTATGACTAAACTATCAAACCAAATGAATATATCAGAAAACAAGATAACCAATATCACTTGGGACTCTATAAAATTATTGGGGAATGGAACAGATACCTTGTTCAAATAGTTCAGCTGCAGAAGGCAAAAGATGAGAACAACCACTATGAAAAACCATGTCTCAAAATACTTGAATTGATTTTGTCCTCCAAATGTGAGCTTCATAGCCATTCCAATTGCTTTGACACCCATAACCTGAATAACCATAAGAAAACAGCCATGAGATAAGATGTATGAAATGTACACTGAGAACCATGGACTACTGTATATATCATAAAAGAGAACAACAGACCGTGAGAGAACCCGCTAGAGAACAAATTCCAATGTAGACAACCAAATGTGACTGCCCATAACGAGGCACAAACCGCACAATAAGGATAAGTACTAGAATCATAACTGTGAAAGCGTAGGCGAGGAACCCTGTCCTTCTCAAAAACCTTTTGGTTAGTTCCAATAAACAAAACATGTAGATATCCAAAGGAAGATAGCAAGTATCTGTTTTATAATTTGTGAATCCAACTGTCACTTCACTATTGCTATACTAAATCTTTAGCCATGTTAGTATGTTTACTTCAGGTTTGATGTGTTTTTCTTAGAGTCTTTTTATTCTTTTCATAAATTTATATGCCAGTAGTAAATATAGAGAACTTATAGTACTATAGACACTTTATTACTTTTGTTACATTTTATTATATATATATATATATATATATATATATATATATATATTTATATATATTGGACAGAGATAGCCTAAATACAACGACATGAACATTGCGGATTCATATAGCCGACCCCAACTTGCTTGGGATTGAAACATAGTCGTTCTTGTTGTTGTAAACATAAGTTTAAGGATAATGGAAGAATGTAACTTAAGTGTACCTGGCTCTGTTGCTAGGAACCAGACATCCTTAACAGATTGAATACTCTTCTCTAGCGGTGCGTGTAAGACAATAGTGACAGAGCCAACCAAACAGAGGAGACAACCAACCATACCAAAGATATGTAACCTCTCCTTCAAAATAAAATGGGCTAACACTGCACTGCACATGAATGTTATATCAGTATTGAACCAATAATAGCTTCTTTGATTAACAATTCTAACCCCAATTATACTACATAATCACATACCTTACAATCATACTTAAAGCTCCTAGGGGTGTCACAAGTATTGCCGGGGCGTATGCGTAAGCAGCAAAGTTAGCTCCCTCTCCAATAATCACTATAAGAAATCAGAAGATTAGCGTCAAATATAATTAAAAAACTGCCTGTTCCTGAAATGTTTTAGAACTAGATATTATTGCGCTGATCACTTTCAAATTAGGAATTACTGCATTCCATCATCTTCATGCATATTCTCTAAGTCAAGGTCTTAGTAGAGGTTAATGTCATCGATACTTTCACCCTGTCCATAAGTTGCTTATTATATTTGACAAATGTCTAGTCTTTCTCATTCTATGATGATATACGGTACCTCTCTATAACAGCCTTGTTTGTTTCGATATTTTTGGGCTGCTATAGTAAAGTGTTGTTATAAAAGGGCATAACAGCCTTTTATAGTGAAGTGTTGTTATAGAGGACATATATTATAACATAACATAAACATCGGTTCTGAGAAAAACTTGGCTTTTATAGTGAATGGTTATTATATAGAGATGTTTTATATAGAGATACTGTCATAAATCTTAAGTACAGAATTAGCTATGAAATGCAAATGAATGCCTGGTGCGGACTTGCTTTTGCGGATAACATAAATGTTGAATCTCATTCTAACATCAGATATCAATTGTCTTAGCTATTGAGTGGCAATCAATCAAGAATTCTACAACTATATTGCTCAGACTCTTTGAAAATGTTGTCGGGTGCATGTCGAGTCCTCCAAAAGTAGTGTATTTTTTGAGGATCCGACACAGGTGCGACATCATTTTGGAGAGTCCGCGCAACATAGTTCTACAACATTCATTGAGGTCAAAAGAATAAGAATGTGCACTGCCCTAGGGTATCAAAAGTTCTGGTAGTGTTAGCACATTAGAAATTTTAATTTCTTAAGTTAGATATTGACCTGCATTGCAAATATATGACCACCTATTTTAGGTGCTTGCTCAAAGGACTTTGTGTTTTACAATATATGTAGGTTTTCTCAGACGACGAATATCATATGCTCAAGGACTCATACAACAATAACTACGCGTCAATTCCAAGAAAGTTGGGATCGGCTATATGCTCAAGAACTGTATAAAATAACAAAACTTTTGGGATGAGTTAGGTCTCTTACTAGATGACATTCCAGCCCACCAACAAGGTTCCAACAAGTAGGAGTGGCCTCCTGAACCTATTCAAAATTCAGCATAATTGGTAATTATATAACAGGATCAATTTGCCTAGCATCAATTGAAATCAATACATTTGCTTTACAAGAATATATGGTTTTATGCACAGGCAAAATCTCCTTTAGAAGCAATAACAGGAATTTTAGTTCATCAACTTTTAGCAGGTGTGTGTATATATGTGTGTGTGTTAACATTCAAACCTCTTGAAGCATGCTAAACTTGTCACAACACTGAAACTCATGCTAATCTACCCTTTGAGCATTAGCATGAAGGATGTTAAGAGGCGTAAAAAGGCTAGCTCGGTGCACGAAGCTCCTAGCTATGCTGAGGGAAAGGGGGGGCTGTAGAATGGTTGGACTATATTGCGCGGAGGGAGATGGGGGCCGTGGAACAATTGGACTATATTGAGTACCGTATATTTTTGCAAGAGGTTGTTTTCATAATCGGATGGGTAAGACATACTCTCTCTATTTATTTTTACTTGTCTAGTATTGTAAAAATAGATTTTCACTTTTACTTGTCACTTTTACACTGTGTTTGGATGGTTGTTTCCGGTTGTATTGTATTGTATTGTTACCTCACATACAATGTTCGTTTTGATTGTTTATATAAAACTGATTGTATCGTATTGTTTAATCCATTGTTCCGAAACAATGAAAAACCCCATTTTATGAAACAACCAAATCCGTGTGGTGGGATTGTTTCGTATTTTCCTTTCCAATTATGCCCACACTTATTATTCTATATTTCAATTTTACCCTTTACCCTATTATTTATATTATATTCACCATAATAAGTACTTTGTCTCATCTTGTTTCTGCCGTGCAAGTCAACAGACGGTATCGTCTCTTTCCAGTTTCCAACCAACTTTTTACAGGTTAGGTCTCTTTCCAACGACGGTATCCTCTCTTTCATCTATTTTCGTTGAGTGGAGTCATTGTAGTCAATTCACTTTTGTAAACATATGAAATATAAATATCGACGGCTATGAATTATAGTATTATTTCTGTTGCATCATTACTCTTATTACGTCACTTTCCTTACATTGAACTACTTTATGTATTTGTCTGCTTGTTATCACTTTCATATCATTATGTATTTGTATAATTTACATCACTTTCATATCGTTTTATGTTGAACTATTTCAGATTGCTAATGGGGTGTATTTGTCTGCTTGTTTTTTCTGTCAATTATTTGGTATTACTGATGTCACTTTGTTGAATCTTTTCAGTATTTTTTCTGGTTAGTTCATCTATGATATTGGTTAATGTATCTCACTTAATTTTATTATAGATGGCTGATCGGAATAATTAAAATAATAGACAGATATTGGAACAAGTGAGCTCTTTAGCTACATATGCTGCTTGCTTAGTAGCTATTTGGTTTTGGACTTATGTAAATTGAAAATGACCGACGTACGATCACACATGATATACGACTGGAAAGTGAACAAGTTAGACATGAATTTTTGAGTTATTTATTCTCAACTGAACTTTGTCGTAATATTATTAGAATGACCCCTTTAGCTTTTACCGATTTATGTGAGATGTTAGTTAGAGAGGGTGATCTTAGACCAACACTTCAAGCTATAGTTGAAGAGCAAGTTGCAAAAACACTTTACCTGTTAGCGCATAATACGACAAATCGCGAGTTAGCTTTTATCTTTCGACGATCTGGGGAGTCGGTTAGTCGTCATTTTCATATTGTCCTACGAGCGATCTTGGGGTTATATGAAAAATTTATTAAACAACCTGATGGCTCTCAAGTTCCTTCTGAAATTGCCAGCAGCCCAAGATTCTACCCATATTTTAAGGTGAACACAAATACAATTTTATTGAACTTTTAGCTAAATTCAAGGTTGATTGCATATAATTTATTATAATAATGTCAGGATTGTATTGGTGCAATTGATGGAACACATATACGTGTTAAAGTTTCACAACGTGTGGAACACATATACGTNTTGGTGCAATTGATGGAACACATATACGTGTTAAAGTTTCACAACGTGAAGCACCTAGATACCGTGGAAGAAAAGATTATCCAACACAAAATGTATTGGCTGCATGCACATTTGATTTAAAATTCACATATGTGTTAGCTGGTTGGGAAGGGACGGCATCTGATTCAAGAATCATGAAAGAAGCGTTAAATAGACAAGACCCGCTAAAACTTCCAGAAGGTAAATATTTTATATATTTATATAGGGAAAGTTAGATGTGATGAATAAATAATTAAAGCTTTTACTTTTTATCTTTAGGAAAATACTACCTTGTTGATGCTGGATTGATGTTGAGAAGTGGACTTATTACGCCTTATCGTGGGGAGCGATATCACTTGAAAGAGTATTCAAGAAATCCACCTCGAAATCCTCGTGAATTATTTAATCTGAAGGGGGGAACCCGCTCCCCGGTCGTCGCTCTGCTGCGTCGACACGCATCTTTGTGTAATGCTATTGAACGAGCTTTTGGAGTTCTTAAAAAGAGATTTCCTATAATTTCTAGTTCAACTGAACCGTCATATGGTGTTGAAACCCAAAAGCTTATTATTTTTTCATGTTGTATTTTGCACAACTACTTAAGAGGTGCAGATCCAAATGATGAGTTACTTGCACAAGTTGATGCGGAATAATGATGTGCATGAAGAACCACCAAATCCTAGGGAAAATAGTGAAGAGTTTAGAAAGGGGGAGTTGATTAGAGATGACATAGCAGCTGACATGTGGGCTAATTATCAAGTTTAATCTTCTAGGAGAAAAAAAGTCAACAAATTTTTTCGTGTTGATTTATTTGATGTTGTTTGAAATTAATTTCGGCTATTGTTTAAATAAAATTATTATGTACTATGCATTTATTTTATTTCATTTGGGCATTTATTTTATTTTACGTCTGCTTAATTTTTCATTAAGTCTTGTGAATCNGTCTGCTTAATTTTTCATTAAGTCTTATGAATATCTCTTAATTATGTAGTTATCAATATGCCGAAAAAGTCAAAGGCATCCTCAAGCGACACAAATCTTTCAGATAACACTGTTTGTATTTGGTCAAATGTTATGGATGATGCCTTAATTGATGCATTCTATCATGAGCACACACTTAGAAACTGGGTTGGTGGAACTTTTACTGCACACGCGATTGATAATATAGTGAAAGAGATGCAATCAAAATTTCCAGATAAAGTTTTTAAGAAGGAGAGAGTTCACAACCGAATGAGAAATATTAAAACAAAATTTAGCAAGTGTTATGACACCTTTCAAAATGGGATGAGCGGGTTTGCATGGGATTCCAACACAAATATGTGGAATGCTGAATCTGAAGTATGGGATCAATTGATACAGGTACATTAATTTTTAGCAGTTTTGTTCTTTCGCATAATCCACGATGATAACTTCAATTCTTGTATTATCATTAACAAATTGGATTCTGATCTATGTTTATGCAATAAAACATGTTTATTTTGGGGTGGTGCGTGGGAGGTAGGGATACTCTCATATCATTCTATAAGTTGCTAATAGAAAAGATGGATATATCCTCAAAAGATAATATATGGTCAGCTTAACTGTTTTATCAAGATATAGAGGATAAATGCATTGTGTTCATGCTCAACTACTAGTCGAGAAGATGTGCTTGCTCTGTTTGAAATGTACAAGAATGAGACTATTCTAAATAGTTATGGAAAAATCCTTGTTAGGTATCCAGTCTCATTTTTTGCATTATTATATTGTGATAAGCTAATTGAGCTATATGGAAGGGATAGAGCTACCGGAAAGCAAGCTGAGACTGGAGCAGATATGGTAAAAAGGGGTGTTTGTAATAATTTGAGAAAATCACGTGATAGTCCATTGACTATTGATGAGGTAGATGAATTAATTTCCATGAATGCTGCCTCTTGGAAAATATCGAGGAACATGGACAACATGAGCAATATCAATCAACTCAGGAAGCACGTAAATCTAATGCATATTCAGAGGTACTGACTTCTAGCAGGAATAAAAAATCTAAACATGATCATCTTGAAGGCATGGCTGATATGTTGAGAGGTGTGATGAATAATTTGGCTAATGCAATTAATCGCCTTTCAACTATGCCACCTATTCCTAAGAGTGAGATATGGCAAATGGTACAAGTGTTGGATTTAGAGCCTAGTATGCACATGAAAGCTTATATATTTCTTTGCAAATATGCAGACTTGTGCCGCACACTGATTGAGTGTCCATTGGAAGACCACAAATTTCTTTTACTAACCTTGATGTCGTCACCTGGCAATTGAGTTTCTCTAAATATTTTTTGTGCTTTAGCTATTGAGGATTTTATAGACTTTAACTAGATCGATATGAATTTTATATGTCATGTTGCTAGAAATTTTTATTACATTATGCACTTTCAGTTTGGAATTATATTGTAATGAAACCAATAAATTTAACAGAAACTCAAAATATAGAGATTAAATGATGCAAAAAGATAAAAATAAAAAAATAACTAGTGAATAACGGAAAAAAGAGAGTAAAACCTGCTCGTTTTCCATTTGCACCAGCCTTCTTTAGACCTTGCTTCTTAATAACAAAGCTAGACCCAATAAAAATACTGGATGATATAGCTAATATAACTCCATGCACATTATCAGATATTCCTTCCATTTTTAAAAAAAAAAATGGAGAGGAATAATCACATAAAAAGTACTCTTTATATTCAAAAGCCAATTCTTTAACGCAAATGAAAACCCTGCATTAAACATGAAACAATACAAAAAATTTATCAATTACGTACAAGAAAAATAATTTCATAGCAAAAAAAAAAAAAAAAAAAATCGAACCTTTTTNNNNAATAATTTCATAAAAAAAAAAAAAAAAAAAACTCGAACCTTTTTCTTGGCTTTTGTTTGCATGAGAAAAAACGTTGATAAATATCCAAACCACCAATATTTATCCAGAAAATATATATTTTGGTTGCTTTAATAAAGCGTCAATTTTTATTTTTTTTTAGTGATTTTCAATATTTCTCTGACCAGCTTGGTTTTTTTTTTCTTTTTTCCTTTTTTTTTTTTGGTTTCTCTCTTTCTCTCTCCCTCTCTCTGCAGAAAATTTCTGCAGAAAGTTGCAGAAATGAGAAGAGAAAGAGAGGGAAGAGAGAAAGGAGGAAATGAATATTTTGGTGGTATTTTTTGGTTTAGAGAGAAACAAAGTCCGTTAAACTTTGTAATTTAGAAAAAATAAATCACTTCAAATTACGTTAGCCACTTCTTTTTTCTCCCATAATTTCCCCGCCTTTTTTGCATGTATATTTTGCCACCTTCAATTTTAATACTCGGGACCGAGCGCTTTAAAGAAATAATGTAATACTCATCGTAAATCAACTCATGAAATTATTATTATAGTATGAAAATGTATAAACAGTAGTAATATGAGTGAAAAATATCCAAAAAGTTACTAATTTGTTATAGCCCAAAAAGAAAGACCAGGGGCACTTTTATTCGCGTCGAATTTTCCAAAGATAGTGTATTCAATTTTTGAAGGGTCTGACTGATGTGATAATATTTTTGGAAAGTCCACACAACATAGATCCAATGCAAAGCTGCAAAAATGATGTTCTAGTTCATTAATACTCCTTTGTTTAGAACAATGGTCTCTAATTATTGATTTTGTGCTTGTATTTACTGGGGGGAAAAAACTAACTTATGTAGTTTATATGTACAATTTTTTTCTTTTTTTTTTAATCTTCAACGGGTCCCATAACGGAATTATACCAACTGAGATTTTCTTTAAATGCTTGTACCAAAAATTTCGTTCAATCAATCAACAAACGCCTAAATTTCAAATTAGTTTAGCTCGACCATTAGAATGAGAATGCTGGTAAGCTTAAATATAATTAATTTTGTTTACTCCATTAACAGCTTGTTTGGATGGTTGTTACACATCGTTTCATAATGTATTGTATTGTACGGTATCGTTTGATGAATACAATGTTTGGATAGACAGTATCGTTTGCCGTTGTTTTATGAGATCGATATCATGCATCGGCAATATGAAGAATAAATTTGCAGTATTATAAAGAAAAATTATGATACATGGTAAATTTATTATATAAAAAAGTAGGGTAAATGATAAAATAAAATTATTTAATAATAGTGAAGGTTGAGATGAGAGAAAAGGACAAGATAATGATGCAATCACAGCAAATCCGTCGTTACATAAAGTGACACATTTCGCCGTTACGTAACGACTGATTTAATGATATGATACAATAAAATTTAAATAACAACCAAAATATACATCATATTTAAAGTATCAATAGAATATAATACAATGAGTAATGACCATCCAAACAAGCGGTAAATCAAAGACTACTCAACTAGCTATCATATATAAATAACAAAAGTTTAGCAAATTTATTCAAAACGAAAAATTAGTTGAAAAAAAGAAGAAGACTAAAAACAAGTACACAACAATAATGTACCTTCTATGTTCGGGTCCTTCAAAAATATTGTCAGGTGTGTATAGTTATATATTTTCGGAGGGTTCGAAATGAATGTTATGGCGATACTTTTGGAGGATCCGAGGAACCTAGTGTACATACAAATGTGAAAGATAATCTCTCAACTTCTGTTCCTCCGTATATGAAAAGTTTTCCATTTTGACTTCCTTCAATTTATTTTTTTGCCTCCCACGTGTCAAAAGTAGAGATGCACAACAAGTTTTCTCATCTTCAAATACATCATCATATATAAACTTGAGGGTACTCTTTAAATTATACCGTACAAAAGATAGGGTTTTCAGTTGAGGACAAATCCAAAGCAAACTATCAAGAACGTCCACAACTGAGTAAGTATGATCATTTATGGCCTCAAATTCTTTATGCAAGCCATAAAGTGGACGAACCAAATTTCTTCTCATCTCCGTTGGTATAATTATCGCCTTTTGGTTGTCGCACTCTAAGGGGTCGTTTGGTTGGAATATGATTTATACCGGTATAACTTATATTGGGATAAGTTATGTTGAGATTAGTTATGCTGAGATTGTTGTTTATTCATTATTTGGTATGTTGTATTAAGAATGTCAATTGCATAATTTCTAAGAAGAAGGTATAAGTTATACCGGTGCTAATTACCCCACCTTCTATAAGGTATAAGTTATCTCGATATTAAAATTAACACCGGGATAACTTATACCTGGTTTGCTAACCAAACAAAGTATTAAAGTGGTATTATATTTTTATATCACCCTTATACCTTCTTATACCTCATGCCAAATAATCATAAAGTGAATAATAGCCTTGTTGAAATTACCAAGAAATTTCACGAGCTTAGAGTACCAATGAATATTAAATGATGTACTTTCTCCTAGAAAGAATTTGAGTTCAACTTTTAGCAAAACTGAAGCATTCAGTTTCAGTGTTGGAAATTGACCAACATAACAAGAACTAGTGTATAAGAAGCTTGTTAAATTAGGAGTATTTAGTTCAACATCTATAATATTATTGCACCACTTTACTACAAGACACTCGAGCCGATCACTTGAGATCTTCATTTTCTTCAATTCTGTGCAACCAAATAAGTTCAAGGGACATTTGCATCTATACCCGCTTTTTGTGTCACATTTTAATTTGTGTCTGTTTTGCAAAAAAAATTGCAAGCGTACCCGTTTTTTCGCATAACTTCATGCATACGGGGCTGAAGTAGCAAAGACAATCACGCAAAACTTCAGCATTTTAGTAGCCGGGCCTGAAGTTCAGCTCTAGAGCTGAAGTTTTTGTGTTGTAACTGAGAAACTTCAGCTCTAGAGCTGAAGTTTCCAGTTACAACACAAAAACTTCACCTCCAGAGCTGAATTTTTTTTACCACCTATTAATATTACATACTAGAGCTGAAGTTTTTGTGTTGTAACTGGGAAACTTCAGCTCTAGAGCTGAAGTTTTTTACCACCTATTTATATTACATACTAGAGCTGAAGTTTTTTACCACCTATTTATATTACATACTAGAGCTGAAGTTTTTTAACCACCTATTAATATTACATACTAGAGCTGAAGTTTCTAGTTATAACACAAAAACTTCAGCTCTAGAGCTAAAGTTTTTGTGTTGTAACTTTTACCACCTATTAATATTACATACAGTTGCTCGTCTTGTATTAGCTAGGCAGGTATAAATATTTTTAAATTAATTAAAAACGTGAAAGGCACAAGAAAAAAACAAAGGTCAGAGAGGGATATATACATGTATCATCTGGGGGATTGGTTTAGTGGGTAGAAAACAGAAGAGAGAGCTAGAGCAGTCATTCCAATTCTCGAAGGGAAAAAAGAAAAGCTAAAAATAAAGTAAGAACATGAAAGGGTAGCTTTTGCACAGCTTGTGATGTTGTTTTTGCACATCTTGTGGTGAGGTACTGAATCGGAGAAGAAAGGGAGCTGAAATTGTTTAAAAAGTGGGTACAAATTAAAATGTTTAAAAAAATGGGTATAGGTTAAATGGGGGCGACCAAATAGGACGCCCCGTTCAATTTTTACTAAGTTCAAGGCTTCAAGATTGGGTAGATTTGCAAAAATGTCCTCTAGCAATTTTGCAGTGATGGCCACATAAGAGAAATACAAACTTTTCAAGGCTTTGCAAGCAGTTATCCAATTAGAAACCAAATATTGTTCATAATGTGAAGATTTTCAAGATTAGGTGCTACAGTATCAAGCATCTTGGTTTCAAGAGGTAAACTCAACCAAACCCTCTTCAATTTGGTTAAATTATTTCCCGCAATTTGTAAACTGGCTAGTCCTTGACAATCACTTAAAGTTAAATCCTCTAAGCAACTGCAGCTTGTACATAAAGCTCGAATAAAGTGCTCGTCCAACAATGTATGACAGAGTTGTAATCTTTGCAAAGATGACCACTTTATGTCACATTCATAGGGCAATTGAAGCTTAAATTCACATAGGAATGACAAACGGGCAGGTCAGGTCGGATATGGTTCGGGTCGAAAACGGGTAATGAAAAAACGGATTAATTATCCGACCCGACCCATATTTTATACGGATAGAAAAAGGATTAACCGGCTGATAATATGGGTCCATAACTTCTTGCATATGATCACTTTTGGGAGAATTCTTAGTCACCCTAACTTGAGGAACTCCCATTTTGAAGCTTTTACGAATGTAAAAGTTAGACCCAATTGTTATCCATGGTTACTCATTAGTTATCCATTTTCTAAATGAATAATATGGTTCTTATCCATATTTGACCCGTTCTTAAAAAGTTCGTTATCCAACCCATCTTTTAGATACTACGAGTGTAATCCAGGCGGGTAACAGTAGCAATAGACCATAACATCAGCAAAATAACAAGACAAACCAAGTGTAATCCCATGAGTGATAGTATGGGAGGGTAATGTGTACACAGATTTTACCCCTGTCTTGAGAAGATAGAACAAAGGCGAAAGCAACATTGAAAGTTCTTGGGTACTGAATTGGCAACCGAACTCATAGCTCGTTAGTTACTGGGTTCACAATTAAGTATTTATACATATTTAATAAATTTTTTAATACAAATACAATCTCTAGGTAAAAAGTTACTGGATTCGTCCAAATCTGTATGTAACACTCTCTCTCCGCCCCTGAGATAGAGATGTTGTTTCCGATAGACCCTTGGCACAAAAAAAATGCAAAAAGAAGCAGTAGCAATAGACCATAACATCAACAAAATAACAAGGAAGACCAAAGCAAAAGATACTTACATTAACATGCATTTAATGAAATTTAGGAAGAATTTATTAGGCAAGAACTATACAAGTAGAGTTCTTTCGTTTTTTAAATCTGGAAAATATTGCATATTTTTGTTCTTCTTTTAAAGTTCTATATAGTCTCATATATAGGCATAAAACCCTAATTACATAGTGACTAGAACGAAAACAAGAAAAAGATTTACCTGTTGAAGACAAAAATATTCGATTCTATTAAATTCTTCTTAGTTGATGTGTTCGTTACACTTCACAAACTAAAATTCTTAATGATATAATCAATTGATAAGTCAATAATTTTATAGGACTATAAAGCTAAAAAATCTAGCCAAATCCAACTAACTTAGGATTATTAGGATTCTTATATGCTAATTCATGTGGATTGGGACTCTTGTATTTAAAATAAGAGGAATATATACAAAGG